ATCTAAAACACCCGCGTCAAATCGCTTCCATCAAACGCAACGAATCGCGAGGGTCGTAAGTGAGTCATCAGGATAGCGGAATCTCATTCTACAACCGTTCGATTTCGAGGGCGACGTGTAACGCAGCTTCCCCGAAGCGACCGAAGCTCGTCGGCATCCTCGCTCGATAGTAAGATAAGAGCAAAACGCTCGTACGTATATGGCCGAGCGTATCGACGGATGTTGGGAAACGAGGCTACGAGAAAATCACATCATCATGGTCATCATCCACAACCACCACCACCACCACCACCACCATCACCTGCCACCGTCCGATATCCCCGAAAGAGTCGATGCTCCTTCGAGAGCTCGGCCGAGTTATTCGCCAAGTGCCACTTGGTTTCGCGTTATCGTCACGTGCACTTCTCGTCATCCGTCACGCGGTTGTAACGTTTTCGCGAGATCCAAGTGATGGACGGCGACGTCGCCGACGACCCGTCACAACGATAGTTTCCCGGTGACCGAACGTATGGACGTCAGGTAAATCTTTGTAACGGCACCTTCGCGGATTGGGACAAGATCTGGGGAAAATTTTCTATTAAAATAAAAGATCGTTTTCTCTCCCGAACATTATTATTTATAAATTTAGATATTTACTAGAATGTTAAATTTAATCTTTCATTTTTTCCCCTAACACTCTCTCTTTCTCTTTCATTTTAATTAGGCAATTACGTGATGTTACATTTCGTCAATTAAATGCCTTACTTCCACGTTAATTTGTTGCTCGATTTCTAAACTTCTCGCTTCAAATTTTTTTTGAAGATAATTATCTAAATTAAATTAAAATAAAAATTTTAGCTCCTTTTCGCATAATGTGTTTCGCAATCATGATTTTTAAAATTCATAGATAAAAGTGTGTTTTCTTTGAAATATAATGGCATAATAACTGGCAGATTGCTTCTCCCTTTCTAATTATTTCTAGAATAAACATGACGAACTAAAGTATTTGTTACTGCAAAGTATTATTTCCTAGTTCGTAATTTAAATTTCAAATATCGATGCTTAAAAATTTTGTTCCTTTTCGCATAACTGTGATCAATCATGACTTTTAAAATTCATAGATAGAAGTGTGTTTTCTTTGAAATATAATTGATTTAGAACTGGCAGATTGCTCTTCTCTCTAAATTATTTTTACAATAAACATGATGAATTAAGTATTTATTACTACCAAGTACTATTTCCTGATTCGTACTTTAAGCTTCAAATACCGATGTTTAGATTTGAATGTACCGTAACGCAGATCATCCGCAAACGGCGTATCTAACTGTTCCTTTTGATCATTCAAGTTTTATCTTCGATCAATTTTAAATCTGTCTGTGGAAAAACAACGCCTGTTATAACTTCGTTACACATAACTTTAACATTTCGTAACATACACATGACATCTATTGAAGTCCTAATTCGCGTTCAAACTGCTTAAACTAAGTGTGAAGTTAAGGTACGATCTCTTATCTTCATCAGAACGCATAGCAAATCAAACGAATGCCATCGAATAATTCTCAAACGCCATATGGCTTTATCGATACGATATATATCTCGACGAATTTCGTAAGCTTTACGGGAGTTTTCGCTATTTACGAACCGACGAGAAAGAAAAGTTTCCGCAATCGACTCGTAATCTACCGCAGGTGCACAGCAAATAGTAGTTTGCTACGTGATGATACTAATTTCACCGATTCCGTGAAATTAGACTCGTGTACCATACTCTAATATATTTATATCTCATCTATTAAACTTGCGGCATATATTTTTCATTAGATTAAAGTTCATTCGCATAATTTTATGCGATCAGAATTGTCGATAAATTGATTTGATACAAAACACTTGTACATAGTTTTTCGAATTTGCGTTGCTTTCTCCTAGGAAAAACATCTACTAGCTTTAAAATGCATGCTATATATATATTTAAATTAAATTACATGGAATTGGAGAGATCCTAATTACTTTGTGCACACATATTTTGCTTACTTTCTAATAATAACAATTTACTAAGCTTTATGAATAAATTATTTAAGATTATTTTCCCATACTTATATATTTATAAATATCATCGTCGTCGAACAGACAGAGCTTTCATAAAGAAACTTCTCTCACTATCCCACCCCTCTCTCGCCCACGGTAACATCTTGTCGAGTACAACACGCGGGAAGGTACTCGCGGTGTCTTCAGTCCAAGGACCTTTCACCTCTATCAATTTCTTTCGACGGCCTTTGTAGTGGCACTTGCCGGTGCTCCATCATCGCGTCATCCGCGAATCAAGCACATGTCTCCATCGGGATACGCGATGATCTTTCATGTTCGTTAATCGCGCCGACGAACGACACGTACTGCCAGCTGTCGCGCGCGTTGACTCTTGACTCGCGTGACTTCTCGTACTTCTCGTTCTCGCATGCAATTTGTATTACGTACAATCGGAGAGAATTTGCGCGCGCGCAAGAGGATGTAGTCGATTTTTAGCATGCAAGCGTTGCATCGCGCGTCTCGAGAAGCCGCGGATCCGCGTTCGTCGAAGTAACGGAATGGAGTCGACAAGAGATGCTTATTAGAGATCTCGAGAGTACAACCGCCACTTATTGTTATGTCTTGTTCGTTACGGATCGCCATGTCGATATCGATCGCCAAATAGGTCGTCAAAAGCATCTCTTGCAACTTATTGTTAGCCTCGATACTCGATACTGCTTTCTTAAGCGATTCATTATTGTTCGTGTAAAAGCGATCCCTCTAAGATCGCCGCTGAAGAGGATATCATAATTTTCTGTGCTTCATTAAGAATAGTAAAGTGTCCATCTCGAGAATGAGCAGTACATTCGCAAAGTACATTCGTCTTCCACTCGACTCGGGAGATAGAGGAAAAATCGAGGCTAATGACGGAACTCAGGTCTTAAGAGGTATTTTGAAATATCATTATTGGGCATCTAAAATATTAATAAACTGCGATACACAGGAGTTACGGTTCATAACGAATGAAATTTAATCATTATTCATTAGTAACGTCGAAAAAAACTAACAGAAAATGTTGTAGAAACCTTGTACAAGTATCAGTCTTCAAATATTAATCATTGAAATAATTATATCCAGTAGTACAATTGAAACTACTTAAGTAAGTAAAATCGAATCATTGTTTAATGATATAATTAATAATTATAAATAATAGTTATAAATATTATAAACTCGTTAAAAAATCATATAAGTGTCTCGACTTAGCAATTATGATCAAATTATTAAACATCGTTGAAAACTTTTCGATTGCTTAATCTGTCCTAAAACTCAAACTAATTATTCTCTCTTCTTCATGGATCTATATTAAATTTTAATATCAGGTGATTGCATAAGTTCGTGCCCGATTTAAATATAAACTTCAATAGATTTTTATTATATAAAGTTTTAAATAATTCATTATATCGAATCGATAAATAGAATTTGTCGCGGTGAATATTTTGCAACGAGACGAATTGAATGCGCAGAAAAAAATTGCGTTAGCGCGACCGAAATAGACAAATCTGCGCGTGCGATAAAAAACTTACTGGTTTCGCCGTCATTAATTACACGGCATTACACTCGCGGTAATTGCCAGCTATTTAACGCGCCGAAGAGTCCGAACTTTTACTAGAAGAAGCCTCGTACACGCGCGTTTTCTGACGGGCCGCAACGACGGAACAACTATCATTGTGTAGCACCTAGCTATGCAATGAGCGTCGCGCTGCGAATGCACAGCGCGATGCTTTATTAAAAGATGCAGTATTATAGCAAAAAGCGCTATTAAGCAAACTCACGCCAGCTGTCTTAATTATTTCAACGCGCAAAGCGTTTCTCCCTGCGCGCCTGTCATCATTGCTCAATTGTGTGACGAACAATATTTATGACAATCGACGAACAATTATTATATGAGAAAAACAACTTGCACGAAAAGTAACGTTTACGTATAACGGAACGAGTATAAAGTTTAATTTATTTAATAGGAATGCAAACACACTTTTGAACTCGTGTAACAAAATTTAATTCAATGGTCCGTCATATATTATAACAATCTACAATAATCGACAAATCCGAAATGAAAAAGAAATCGAGTTACATAGTTTATATCACGATACATTAAAAAGTCGAAAATTAAGTTCTTTCTTTGCCGATTAATCTCAATTTATGATAATTAAAACTGCTGCGAAGTTATGGCGCTTTTCGATTCGTGATTTAATTCAATCGCTCATAATTCATGTAATAAAGAAAGAAAAAATATGTTTCTCGAATTTCTATTCCAACATTGCATTAACAGAAACATTAAAGCTCCTGTTCCCTCACCTGGAGCTGGATTGAATTATGATGTCGAAAGTAAAAAGCCAGATAAGTGTTTTTTCTTGCAAATCTTTATTAATCCACGAATCTCCAAAAGAGGATCCCCGAGATATTTTTCCAATATACGTGTATATTGTCGAACGCGACATATGAAAGAGCTGATTTATCTCGACACATTTCGCGAGAAAAAAAATTCACCTGCTTTCTCGCTTCTTTCATCATCATTTAATACTTCAGTGAATAAATAGAAATTTTAATTGAAGATTAGTATAAATACTTAATGTATAAATACTATCAATACTATATTGTGCAGATGTTAAATCTATATAAAATGGGACTCTTTCTCCACATTCGAAATCCGTACACAAATGAAGTAGCACGTGTTGAACGCAGCGATTCCTCGATTGACGATTTACACAAGCCAGCGGAGAGATTTATAAATCCGCGAATGCTCTTAACGCCGCGGGCGCTATCGCCGCAGAAATAAACGTATAAATTCTTCCAGCGAAAGTTACACACATTTCTCCGGCGACCCGGCAGGCTAAAGAAAGAAAGTGGCAAGAATAAGCGCGGTTCCACTTTTCCGGCCGCTGCGTACGCGTCGAATGTTATAACGCGCGAGAACGTGCGTTTCTCATTAATCTTCTCCCTTTTTTTTTTTTTTTTCGTAGCGAGCAACGAGCAGCACGACAAGGACAGCCTGAACGAGACCGGAAGTACAACGGGTGGCACCGTGGAGGGTGCGCCGAGCGGTGGCCCCTCGGGGTGCAGGACCAAGGATAAGAACGACCAGCCACCCGCGCAACCATCCACCTCGTCGCCACCGGCGAGGTCCTTGGTCTCTAGGCTCCTGGCGAGGACGCGGTCGCCCGAGGATCTTTTGGATCATTCGGAACCTTAGTAAGATTGCAAATTGTCATTGCTATCGTTACGCCATCAAGTCGCATTTACAGAGCGTCTTTTTTATCAAAAAGTTTTTAATGTTATCCTTTTTTATCTTAATTTTAGATTTAATCCATCTTTTTTTTTTTTTTTATTAAGATAAGATGTAAAAAGGGCTTGTCTCTTAAATGATATCTTATTCGAGGCGCAAGTTTTTCAGTATGATAAAAGTTTTCATGATATAAGTCGTATATATGTTATTTCTAAATAATAAAAGAAACTGTAATTATAAATTTTCATTTTTCTCTCTCTTCTGTGCTATTTTGTTACAGCTCGCAATTATGGGTGGTCCTCTCGAACGTGTACGGCGAGCTGATCGTCGTGCTAACATTCGCGGTATGTTTGGCCGAGGTCATGGACACGCCTGTGCCTTTGCTCAGTTTGCAAGTAAGTAATTCAACCTTGTCGGTCCGTCTGGCTTCATAAATTAATTGCCATGGATTATCGCGGATACGCCGGGTTTATCAGGAAAGCGAGTTCGTTCTATAACGTGCAACGCGTCGAGGTCTCGAAAGTAACGTTCGCGCTGTCGGACTTGGGATTATCGTACCGTTACTTCATACAATCCGGGGAAAGTCCGAGTACACGCGTCGAGATCGGGCGACCTTGAGCTAGAAACTCGGAGTTTGGGTCTTCCTGAATATACTAGCATCCCCAGATTATATCGCAATGACGATTTTTTAATTTTCTTGTTCGCCATGTTAAAAATATCTTTAAAAAATGTATTTGTATGCATTATTTTGAAAACATAATTATTTCGTTAATTTTTATAATTTAAGATACAAGAAAAGTTGATTCAATTAATAACTTGCCATAACATAATTATTATAATCATACTCTATATCTAGATTCATTAATAAACTCTACAAAAATAATAATTTTCTATTTGCAATTATAATCTTGAAGAATAATCTTGAATTACGTTCTTACTTTAATATCTTAAGAAGCATTTTTAATGAAAAAAAGAAGACAGTGACGCATTACATCGCCGAAATTCCAAAAGAGATGATCAGAATTAAAAGACGTAGCGGTTCGATATAAACAGTATTATGTCAAATATTAAAGCGACGTTCTTGATCGCGTGCAATCGAATTCGTTTGAGTTTACGGAAAGCTCTCATTAGCATAAAATTACAGACCAGCCACGTAGATGAAGAGGTAGGTGGTCGACGAGTTTTAAGAATCGGATCGACCATTATCAATAACGATTTTCGCGCACGAATCTTGTTCAGGGGCATTCCGAATTATATACCTGGTACCTCGATATTTTTGCATCACGGGCGAATCCATCACGAGATAACTCCGTAATTCTCTTTCAGGGCATCTTCCTCATGTATCTCTACGTGGGCAGTATTGCTGTTATCATCGCAATCTACATATGGGTGCTGATTGACAGCTGCGGCAGTTTGAGTCGCGGCGGTAACGGGCTCGGCGACGCGGAACTCGGCGGCGCGTCGCTCAGCAGGTTTGGATCATTAAAACGAGCGCACATCTCCAGGGCCAGGACCGCACCGACCAGTTTTTACATACGCGTCGGCGCGCTCCGTAAGTGATACATGTTAATCCAATCGAACGAAAAAACGACGACGTTTGTTTCTCGCTGTATGATGAAATTTCATTTAAATTCTATTTGTGGATATTGATATTAAAACTTAAAAATTAAATTCTTTTACATTACAATTATAAAATATAACATGAAAATAATTAAGATTTAATATAAAATTTTTATTCGTACTTTAATTGAAATTTAATTCACGGTATATATTCGCACGTTTGAAAATTTTATTTTATATTCGCATGGAATTCTAAATATGAACTAAATTTTCATTTAATTAAGTTCACTTGTAAATTGCATTTCATTGATTCACACGTGATTTTCAGTGTTCGGTTTGGCGACGTTGGTATTCAACGGTCTGGAGATGGCGATGCACACGATGATGCAGGGCACCGAGTGCTTGACCGACGTCGTCTTCGTGCATCCGGTGATGCACGGCCTGTTCACCTTCTTGCAGATGCACTTTCTCTTCGTAAACTCGCAGGCAAGCGTCGGTCTTATGTTAATTGCATTAAACAGGGTACTGAGCGCGCACGGTCGGACAATGCGTAAATGCGTTTTTTTTTTTTTTTTACGCTTTGATGCGTCGACGACTGTGTATCGTTACATATACTAGATATGGAACAAAGGGTTCTCTGAACTTTTCATCTAAATTTCAAACGAAATTTCTCACCAAAATATATTTCTTCGACAGATTCTATATTTTTTAATCCTGCAATTTTATTTATATCCAAAAGAGAATAAATCCTAATTTCTATCTCTATCTATATCCGTATAGGTCCTCGTAGAACGTTTCGGTCTGGCAGCTCGATTCGGTTTCACCCACCTCGCAGCCACGAATGTCGCGGTCTGGGCACGTCTGGTGATTTGGGATTCCGCGCAAGAATGGACTTACTTTGTGCATTTGGCGCAACACGAACAGGAAACGTCCGTATCTCCTTTGAGTCTTCGAGGATTTCCCGGATCCTTGACGAGACAATCACGGGATTTTATAGGTATGTATTCGATTTTTTTCGTTGGGCGAATAAGTTTCTCGAGAGTGAATATTTCAAATTGTTTATTTTAGATGATTCGTCGACGAGAGAAAGCACCTTCAAGGCCTATCAACCTGTCTCGAACGAGCAAATCTCACAAGTAATCGCGCTGCAAGAATGCCTGAATACTAACACCCTAGGACAATTATGGACGTCAAGCATGCCCTTCCTGTATCCCTTTATCGTACAATTTAGGTACATATTATATTTTCAATTATTTATGCACTTTCGGTTAATTTTTTTAAATTTTTATTAAATCAAATTCCAGTCGAGATAAACAGTATTACATTAGTGAGATTTCTCATTTAAATTTTAAACATAAATTATATTTTTAATTTGTAAAAATGTTATCTTTTCATTGCTGATAACTCTTATAATTTATTTGATAATTTTTTTCAGTCTAATCGCAGCCGCGGTGACTTTCGTGATGGGTCAGAACGTCGGTCGGAGTCGATTGACTAAACAAAAATTTCACGGCAGCAAGGATTTAAGCGGTCACACTAGGGTAGGCTGCGACGGTTCCAGCAAGGGTCTCTTTCTGGGCATCCTCTGCATGGTTGCCGGCATCGTGGTGATCCTAATCTTCCTCGTCGTGCGAGAGGACGAGAATTTCCCCTCCGCCACGTTATCCTGGCTCACTTGTGGCACCCTGATCGGCATACTGACGCTGAGCAGCTTGATGACAGCCAGCGGTCTCGTGCAGGTGCGACAGATTTCGGTAGTGTCGCGTGCGCCGGCCGCCCTGGACAGTCTCCTGTCGAACGTGTCGCTCTTCGGGGTGCAGCTCTACTCCGTCTTCACCATCGTGGTGTGCGCCTGCTCGCTGGCCATGTCGGATCACGGCGAAACCGAGGACACGCGAGCCAGACACATTATGCTGCTGTCAACATCGATTCTGCAGCTCGTGCAATGCTTTGCACAGAGCACCTTGATCGCCGAAACGTCGCGACGTTCGTGCATCACGCGCTTTCAGATGCTGGCCAAGCCCGGCCGCCAGGTGATCACCTTTCTGCTCTTCAGCAACGCCGTCTTGTGGGCCTTCGACACTGTCATTACGCAGAACTGGCTGTCGCAAGAGTTGCAGCTCCGGTTCTTCGGCGTGCTCGCCTGGGGCGTATTGTCAAGAATCGGTCTGCCTCTCTTGATCTTCTACAGATTTCACAGTTGCGTGCTGCTGCTCGAGGCGTGGAACAAATGCTACAGAACGCCGCGAGGAGAGCATCCTCTCAACTGACAACGCGGAATCTTACGCCGACTTTCGTGCAGGTTTGTCGAAGTAACATCAATTATACCGTACGATATTACACAACAATATCAGGGCAATTAATGCTCCTTAATTTAATTTTATTATTATATTCATAATTAAGTTGATTCATAATCTCTCAAAAAAAAAAAAAAAATTTAGAGATAATAATCAAATTATAAGAGTTATCAACAGTGAAAAACTAACACTGTTACAAATTAAAAACCTAATTTGTGTTAAAAGTTTAAATGAGAAATTTCACTAATATAATACTGTTTATCTTGACTTGAATTTGATTTGTGATATTGCTATATGTCCTCAAGAATTTTTAATACATTTGGCAATCTTTTAATGTCTCTCATAATTATTGTATATGTCTTCTATAGCTATTTCGTTACTAATAATATAATAATAACAATATTGTTAATAACTATAATAGATGAAACGCGTATTAATTTACTTATAAAACACGTAATGATGACAGGCTGCATCATTCTGGCTTACAAGATCTTCATTGTCCCGGAAGATTGATGCTGAAACCGTCGACGGACAGCGGATGCGTTTACAAGCGGACACTGTACCCGAATTCGCTGTCATTGGACGCGATGCATCTTCTACCCTACGTGGACAGCGCGAGCTGGCTATACTTGGACCCGAATCCCGTTTTTCCCTATCGCTTACCGAGTCTGGAGTGCGACGCGTCGTTGGCGTCCGAGCAACATCATCACCACCATCATCATTACCACCCTCATCGTCATCATCATCATCACCGTCACCGGCAAAGGAGACACCGTCGAGTACTGAGCGATCCCGGAGGATGGAACGCCGGTACTCGGCTGGACGCGACGCGACACAGGCGAGTACTTAGCAGCGCCGGCGCCGATCTTATGCGAGCGTCAATAGACGAGGCCAATGAAGATAATCTGTCGCCCGAGGGAGCGTCGACCTTCAGAAAAGTGCCATGGCATCCCAATTTGCATATGCTCAAGATCAGGAGAACGTAACGTTGTTAATACGATCGCGAACGGAAATCTGAAGCAAGACGCTTGTCCACTGTCTCCGAAGAGTGCGATATACCGTTCGGTTTTTCACGTGCAATATTTCTAGATTATAAGTTCACGCTATAGTGTACAAATGATCGCTGTAAACGAGCGCCGTAGACGACGACGATCGTCTCTGTCGCGAGAGCCATCGGGTTTGCATCGTATTCATGAGAATGATGAGCGATGCAATGCAACCCTTCATAATTAATGCAGAAAGAGAGAGAGAGAGTTGTAATTATTACTCGCGAACGTATATTTTTGTATATATTTATTGCAAACATTTTATATATATATAGATCTGACAGAGGATAACACACGCAACAGAATCCTCGGTAGAACTCCGTTTATTGGAATAATCTGGAGATATATAACTATGTATGTGAGATATAATCTAAACAAAATCTCTTAATAAGAGTGTTCCCCTTTTTTCCATTTCCTCGCCATTTTTACACATTATTTCAAATAATTAAGATCGTATTAGTACATAATCAGAGTTAAATATTGCGCAAAATAATTTTATATCAATCAATCAACATAGATATACATATAACTCATCGCGTGTAGAGAGAAGATTAATATCTACTCGATCTGTTAATAGTTTAAATAATTGTGTTTAGTAAATACGCCATCAATATTTATTAATCGAATAATGTTCTCTGTAATCATTTCTCCAAGATCCTAAAGATTATTAATTTTTAAGATTATTTATCCACAAAAACGATAACTATGTTTTCATATTTTGTTCATTAATTATGATAATGTACTTATAATAATGAACTTAAAAAACTACCAACCATTGTATTTTATATAAGATTTACGGTGAAAGCTCGATCTGTAGAATCCTTTTTAAAATATGATACTGATAAATGGAGTTCTGCCGCCGAGCTTTCTTGTAGAATATTAGGTCGCATTATTTGAATACCTTATAAGTACTCATCGCGTGACGGTTTATATCCATCTCGCGTACGAAATGGTATTCTATTTTCGTATCCAGTGCTTTATCTTATTAACGTATAATTATGTCTCTTGGACGAAAAAATAGCAGGGCAGTGCCGATTTAGTTTTTTCATTAAGTTGCGAATGATACAAGGATATTGATAATATAATAGCAATAAATATAATTTCTATTTCGTTAAATTTTTCATTTTGCAAACCATCATTACGAGAGGTTATTTATCTCGAGTTATCGTAATTAAGAAACTCGACAATATCAAATTAACTAAAATACATACCTTAATATATGGCACTGAAACATATAGATATTAAATAAGATAAACGTTGATAATAAAATGTCAACGACTATATGTAGCCAATTTTGAATAATTAGATTTGTTACGTCGATCTTGCGAGTCGGATAAACACTTGGCGCTATTTCGAGAGCATACCTGCTTGAGAAGCTATTAATAACGATATAACAGAGTAAGATCAATGGGGGCATTAGGTAATGAAATACAATGCACACACACGACGAAATTTGTCTTCTTAGAAAACGCGCGAAGTGCGCTTTATAATGTATAACAAACTATATTGATCCACAATAAAAGCTCTTTCGAAGATATAAACATATCACTGATGTACTTGCTGTTTGTAATACATCTGACTTTACATATACATATACCCTTCTGTATGCAGAGCGAAAGATATAAACAAATAATAATTGTACTTAACCCATTAAAGGCGTTTGTTTCATATTTCATCCTCGACGCGCAATTACATTTTAATATAAATTCTTTGTTAAACATAAGAAAAAGGTAATTTTCTAATTAATTATTAAGAAATTGCAAAAAAAACAATAAAAAATAATTAATTTAAATAAAAGAAATATAAATTAGATAACTGCGAATATATATAGCCGGATTGGAGATTTCATCTACAATAAAAACAGTAACTGAAACAAAATGCACAAAAAATCTTCAATATTATACTGCTAAAATTAATCCTAAGATTAATCTTATATTTATATAATCGATCTTTTAAATTGTCAATTATTTTCAAGATAAATCTTTTTTAGCGCAATTCGACAGAACATAAAAAAGGATAGCTAAACGCAAATCAGCCTTTAATGAATCAACTAACCAAGATGCATTCATCATAAGGATAGAAGCGATGGGATCGCGATTAATCGAGGCCAACATCATCCTGAGGAGCCGGTTTCGGGGGATTGGGATGTCCCGCCCCGGCACCGGGAAAACCGGGCATGCCACCGGGCATGCCGCCCGGCATACCACCAATGCCGCCAAATTTCGAGGCCATCCTATTGATAAGAGCCATTATCTTGGGATTATTCTGGTATTTGAGAACATTTGCCGGATTTGTGGAGATCTCCTTGAAGGCCTCGGCCACTTCCGGATCCTGTAGATACGCTCGTCAGAATTATATAGAATTACGTATACATCGTCGTAGAAAATTTACAAAAATTTTAGTTACTGATAATGACGGTTAAGTCTCAAATTTGACACATTTGTATGATGTATCTCTGTATTTTTTATCCGATAATGCGTCAGATACTTTCCAATAGAGAGTACGCGAACATATGACTAAGTATTCTTGACTTATTAAAGACTACGACTTTCTCTCGTAACTTACCTGAAAAGTTTGAAGTAAGTCAGGATCTTTGAGGAATTGATAGAAATCTCCAGGAGATGAATTTCCAGGATCCGTCTGAGATGTTCGCGTATTGTCCTCGCGAGCTTTAGCTCTTCGTAATCTTTCCTGCTTCTCGCGCTCCAATTTTTCCTGCACCAGTCGCTCCTTCTTTCTCTTGTGCTCTTCTATCTTTCGCGCCTAATGTATCAATAGCAATATTGTCGAATATACATTTAATCTTTGTTCCAAAATTATAATTATTTGGAATTATTCAGGAGGAAAGCTCTTTTTCATAAAACTAGAGGAGTTAATAAGCATACGAAACTAAAAGAATTACACTTACTTGCGAGTGTTTACAAAAATCTTACAATAGACATAAAGATATAATGCATGCGTGCTCTAAAAATAGCAATTAAAAGTGACTGCACAAATTAGGCGTGACATGCAATGATACACTGCAAAATGAAGCTGTGAACTTGATGGTGAGTGCGCAAGGTTCGATCTAAACATAGATATAAGTAAATGGGGCATCCTCGCGATCTTTTACGGAAAAGAGATGACCTATCGTGGATCTTTAGGAACGCGTCCAAATCTTAAATTATAATGACGTGCAACATGCCTCCGGCCGAAGTATACATATTGTGATGGCGTGTAATTAAGCTTATATCTATGAGCCAACTTATTATAGATCGCGATTCATCTAACTGCCAATGAATGTCTCTGATAATTTTGTTATCCAGTTAAAATGCTCCGAAACATCGAGCTATTTCGTGATGCTTACATCAAGCTTTGACGAATGTAAATTCAATCTGCGAACCATTTACATCAGTGGCGGAGATATCAAAAACATCGAGAATTGAATAATCGCGAAAAATAAAATTTTGGCAAAGCCGGAGGTAGCAGAGGATATTGAATTAATTTTGCAAATACATGATAAAAGCAAGTAATTAAAATTTATTAGCCTGCAAAGCGCTTTTTGAGTAAGAATCGCGCGGGCATACGTGGCTTTTCTTATAGCGAATTTAATTGGATGCACTAGTGCGTATCCAACCTTAAAAGCTGTATACAAATTTATAATAGTATAAATATATAACTAAAACAATAAAATAATTAATACCATAAATTATTATTATTGTTATTCAATACAAATGGTAGTATTAATTATCTTGTTATTTCAATTACTTATGCTATGGTAAATTTGTGTACGACAGCCTTTAATGTGCATCAATGCGCATTAATGTATCCAACCGAAATCACTATTAAATGTTCACAATTTTATATACAAGAATATTAAAATTGTATATAAAAAAGTAATTATATTAATTATATATATACACATCTCTACAAGTCCCAGTAAAAAAAAAAAAAAAAGAGAGAAGACGAAAAGATAAAGAGAGGGAGAGAGAGAAAGAGAAGGACGAGAGGAGAGGAGAAAGAGAGGACTTTTGCACGGCGGGCCACCTTATACGGGCGCGACCCGGGCTTCTAAATATAAAGGCGCCCGCGGTTCTGACGCTCCTCCGCGTCTGTGCGTGCGTATTTTGCGGCGAATCTTCCGTCCCCGCTTGTGTTACGCTTCGGTTAGTCGGATTCACCGATGAAAAGACGAAATTCTCCTCCTGTTCGTAATAAATGAATTTGCGAAGATATTTCCATCTCGGGAATTATAGATTATTATTTATCTTAGTTCTTAAGAGACATCATTTCTTAATACAAGTCGCGACTTTGTATATTCTAAAGCTAAAGCGAAGACATGACGAGAATCAAAATTCTCACTTCAGGGATGAAAATCCGGAGAATTCAAAAGAATTCCAGAATATCAAAGTATTATCGGAAAATGTTATCACTCGATTTTGCATTCTAGTTTTTCATCGTGGATCGCAACCAACGCTAGATGTGATCGCAACTTTGACGTTCCAACGCGCGCTTTCTCGCGAATGACATTGTTTAGCAGACGATTGAAAGCGCGACGGTAGAAAATAGACGATGACATGCTTTCATCATAAATAAAAAAAGTAGATAAATAAGTAGGTGGCGGTAGAAAGTGTGCGGCGCGGGGGTGAGATTCGCGAGATACAATGCTGCTATTCGCAGGACGCGGCGCGCAGGATCATCGTCAGATAATCAATGGTTTATATCGGCTATCTTGCTACCTGGCTCTTGGTCCAGATAGAACCCTCGACGAGCGCCGGGACTATCGAGGGATATTTTTAAATGCGCGACGATATAGCCCGAAATTTCTAGCCGCGCGACATGAAAGTACAAGAAAGATGCTGTAGTGTACTCGCACTTGTATTAATATTTGAGAAGAGTTACTGTTAAAATTATCAAGTTGCAAAGTATATACTTGAAGTTATTAAAAAAAGCGTTTAGCATTATTCCCACAAATATTAATTAAATTCAGATAAAAAGATTCAGATAATTATAAATATAAGTTAATTGATAACTAAAATATAAATCTTTAAAAAGAAATGTCGGTTTAATTAATATTATCAAGTTATTTAATATGTTATATTAATAAATAATTATTAATTAATATAATAAATATTATAATCATAAAAATGGCAGAATGTTGAATATTCAGAAATCAATTAAAGAGATATTATATTGGTCTAAAAACAACAAAAATACAAATCTAAACTTTCAGATATGTATCAAGATAGAAAACATCTCTTCTTTCTCGAATAACCGTGTAATTAATAAGCGACAAGGATTGACTAGCAAATACCGACTTTAGTAGAATCACAAGCTCGCATTCTAAGTGCTATATCGAAACTATTTCGATCACGAATCTCGTGTAGCCACGTCGAATGATCGACCTTGATCTACGTCGCCCCTCCGTAATCATCGTAAAAATAAAACCTCTGCCCGTTCTATACTCGAACCCTCTTCCACTTCCCGTTCCCTTAACACATTACGCGCTTTCCTATACGTCATAACCAAGTCGAGATCAGAAAATAGGCGATATCGAGAGGCGCGAGATTCGTCATCGGGGTTCTGGGTCATCGAATTGATACACCGTTGCTGATGCGTCTGGTGCTCGGAGCCAAATGACGAATTAATCGTCAATGCGAATGCAAACTCGTAGAATGGATAGACACGTCCTCGCAACTCGAGAGCCTCGATTGTGGCCCGGCTCTGGTCGTGGCGTTTTAATGACGTACTCTCGATACTGCTCTATAGCATTACGCGTGCTACGCTAAGGTAATGACTTTCGCATCAAGTCGCAAGTTTTTCACGTCTTCCCGTGGCCGATGACCGCGAGGTGATCCGAAGGGCGCGCGAAAAGTGGACGGGCGGGACGGTGGAAAAAAAAACGACGACGACCATCGTCGTCGTCGCGCGCTGTCCCTGCGTCCGTGGGATAAGAGGCAGAAGAAGAGGAAGAAGAAGAGAGGGGCATCTTCGGGGTTTGGCGGTAGTGACAATGCCAGTATCTCGCGGGCTAGTTGGAGTCGAGGGCGACGACTGGATCGAGAAGTGAGAGAGGACAAGCTGTGTGCCAGCCCTGGCCCCGGCCGATCGCGTAGTGTCTAGTGTGACGGGATGACGGGCACGCGGATGAGACCCGCGCTCGTCGTGGGCCTCCTTCTAGGCATCCTAGCTGTCGCCTTGCAAGGTCAGTAAAATCGTCGAACGATTATCAGCCCGCGCGAATGGGTCTTAGCACCCTTTTGCAGACCGGACACATACGTCGAGTCGGGTTTCGCGCGAGATCAGTGACGTCGCTCGATTCCATCGATCAGTTGATTAGTAAGTAAGTGATAAACTCGAAGCTCTCGGTTCGTTTTTCGTTAGCTCAGTGTTATATTTTGGAACTTGCTTTGACGATATCTATCTACGAATGTTTCTTCATCGATATTCATTATGAATACAAGATATATTAGAAGTTATCCTTATTGCCGTAGCTGAATTTTCGTGACTTGAACGTGAAAATCAGATGTATCAAGAAAAATCGTAGCAAAAGTGATTGTTTCGGGACGTGCTATTAACATCAATCGTTGACGACAATAAGATTGAGAAGCTATGACGATTGATTGACAAGGTCAATGTTACGTAAAATCGCCGGTACACATCATAGTCCCCAACAGCCTATGATCTTCTCATCCCTATAGATGCGCTAATGCTTTAACCGTTTGATACATTCGGCTAGAAATTTTCGGCTTATTGAGAATATCACTAACGATCCTAATTGATTCAATAATTTTTTCATTTTATCCAAGAGACAAAATTATGGTCACGTGTATTTTTTGCATCTTATTCTTCGGGTTTATTAATTTGTTATTATATTTAATCGAATAACAAATAAATAAAATCCACTAAATGCAATACATAAACTTTAATTAAATAACTCCTATAATGTTTCATAAAATTATTGCCAATTAATAAAATAATTGACAATTATTACATATCGCTAAGTAAATTTCAAATATATTCTCTACTTTGCAATAAAAATATTTTTCTATCCGAATGAGATTTAAACTGCTGATGCTGAAGAGGCATCCGACGTGTTTCAAAGCTTAAATAAAAGTCTCAAATGTTGATTCAAGGATTTGTTATTTTGGGAATCGATGGGAGTTGGCTGTCATCAACCTGCGCGATAATTACATAAGAAACCGCATAAATCCGTGCCAGCCTCGTTCTAAGTCTCGAGAAACGCGAATTGTTCTAATTATGACCCGAACCAATATGAAAATTCCATATCTTCGTTTCTTTTTTAACCGATAAAATGTGCACGTAAATTCAATTTGATATTGCGATTTCTCTCGTAAACAAATCAAATGCTCGCTTTCCGTAAATAGTGTCACGTCACTCGACAAACGGTTATAAATTTTTATAAACAACGTAAAGATATAAAAATCGATAAACTGCCTTGAGGAAAGAGTTATCCACGTTAAATTTTAAATTCAGTTTTCATCTTTACGATGATAATCGCAAAAATTTCTTGCAACTAAGTGCTGCAAAAATCTATACATATCATAGACTATGGAACAAGACTCGCGGAGAGTCTATCTTTATCCGGCGCAGCTGTGCTTGCCAAACGACAGCTGCCTGCGTGCGTCTCCTCCTATCACTCGTAATTCAAAATTTGCTCGTATAATCGCATTACCTCGTAAATCGACAAGAAATACAAGTCTTGCAACTGAAAAGACGAAGAAATGTAGTCGTACACTCCATGTTAACTCGGTAAAGATATA